ATGAAATCCAAGCAAAGCCCAGCTGTGTCGTCGGCAACTATTGCACGGTGACAGCATGAAGCGGTATCGCTGCTCCGTGTAGGTGGTGCAGCTACTTGAGGTGTGGAATAGCGGACGGTGGCGTAGAGCTTCGACCCGAGCTGCTTCAGTGCACATCGGTGACTTTGTTCTCGGCGGTCTGCTTGCTCCAACGCTTTGGAATCGAGTCGGCATTGTCGAAGTGGGTGGTGGGAATCGGCTCGAACCGCGACGCTGACGCCTTTTACCCAAGCCCAACGCTCTACTCTCGAGCATTACATCATAATTCTTCGGCCCTTCGATAATCGAAGGTTTCCGTGCTGTGAGCTAGTGTTAGAGCATGTGGTGCGAAAGCTAGTCGCGGGCAGCTCGGATTACCTCTTTTGGGCAAACGCAAAGGTGTGGGATCGCGCTTTCGACCAATAGGATGTTCGACACACCGCCGCCGGTCGGCAAGATGTCGTCATTGCCAGTAGCCAGAAAACTAGTCCCCAATGGTCGGCCGAGTCGTGTGTTGTTATAAGGAGAGGCCTTGGGCTCGGGTTTCCCCCACAACTTCGACCCGTCCCGACTCCATCCCCGAATTCGTCACCATGAAATTCAAGAAGATCAAGTCCGTTTTCGCGCTCGCCAAAGGCAAACGGGCCTCTGCCGTCACTCGTAGCAGTACCTACGGGCCTCAAGATACAGTTGCGAGCGACGTTGGCACACCGGATACCATCCCCGCGCTTACGTCGCTGTCGGAGGCGTCCATTTCGTCGCTTGATATTGCCGCTATAGAGGTACGTGCTTTCAACTTGTGCTGGTATCACCCGCTGACGGCTACTAGATCGACCAGCTCGCTGACGAAGCTGTCGTGAAGGCGGCGTCGCACAGCGTCGACCCGACTGTCGAGGCGGAAGAGCCCAAGCTCGCAGCAACGGCCATCTCAACAAGCACGCCTACGTTCGAGACGGTGGTCGAGACTTCCAATGCCACTATTGTCGAGGAGAAGCTTAGCGAAGAGCGCAATCTTCCGGATCCGCTCGCCGCCGACAACGTAGCAGCCATCCCAACGCCGATCGAACATGACGTTGCACCCGAAGTTATCCACGACCGCGATACCGCGAACATGATACCACCGACATTCTCTCCCGCCCCGAGCGAAGAAGTCACGGTACCGGCGGAGAGCACCTCCAACTCGACGGACGTTCGGATCATGCTCGCCAAGGACGTTGCCTGCCCGACTAGTGCCTCTAGTGCCGACGCTAGCATCTCACCGGCAGAGGTCACCACGGCGGCCTCCACGACGACGGCGGAAGAGGACGAATGGTCTGTCATGAACATCCTCGCGGCGATTTGGGCCCTGTTGCGCGGTGTATGGTGGTTCGTGAAGAACCACGAACACCTCACAGGCGGCAAGGTGTCTATACGTTCAGCAACTGTCGCCCCTGTCCAGATCTTCTTCTGCATTCTCGTCCTTCTATTCCAGTGGGTGCTTATTGCACCTTTCGTGTTTCTTTGGCATTGGATCTGCGGTAGGAGACAGAGCAATGTGCGCAACGCGTGGGAGATTCGTTGCTGAAGTTTGCCTTACCTTCATACTATAGCACGTGCTAGTATACGTTTCCGCTGGACCTTGCGATTACTTTGCATCGCGAGGCCTGATAGACAATAGACATTTGGTTCCCTCATTCGGGCTCTGAGGCTGTGACGCGTCGCAAGAGTCTTGTTGATTCATATGCATCATGAAGGGAATAATATCTAGAGCTGCAAGGTTTGGAAGTTTGCAGCGAAAGCGTCAGTTGCGGTTCGTGCACACGCGCGTGTTGCAATTCCGATACCCCCATGAAATGAGAGGACAATGTCTACGTTATATATGGTCTACACTCGGCACCTTCGGTATTGGTCCAGTGTGCTAAGATGCGTCAACTTGCAAATGCAGTGGCCGACCGCGCAAGTAAGGCTCGACACCGCTTGTGACATCGACCAAGTGGACCGAGCTGAAAAAGAAATCGCGGTACTCGATCTTGTATGTTGAATCGTCAATCCAGAGCCTCTTTTCACTATGGTCCCTGACATATTGCGAGAGGATGGATAATAAAGCCTGGTGGTGGCCCGAATTACGCACTGGCGAGCGGACAAGGACTCGTTGTACGCGCGGGCCGGCAAGTGACGCGGTGAGGATAGCGGGAATGATCTCGAGGTCCTCCGGACCCATATTATCCAGGCCCCGCAGAGGAAAATCCAGCAGTATATGCGTTACAGATTGCACCTGTTCCAGGCCGAGCAGTGCGACATTCCTAGGGTCCGCCCATTCGATTTTTAGATGTAGATGGGTCAGGCACACCATATCAGCAAGCTCGAATTTGACACTGTGAGTCGAATTGTTGCCATAGAAGGTTGAAAAGGAATCGGAATGTACAGTCGCTCGATGACCGAGATGAGTCGCATGTCAAGCTCATTGTTGAGCCCAAAGAGAGCAGGGGGAGCGGTAATTGCGCGCAGGCGAGGCATGTGGGTCATTATATTGCTCCAACGTATCCAAAGTGCGGCGCCAACCGCCCCAAAACCGATCTCGAGATTGAAGTGCAACTCCTTGGTGTATCGCGCGACGGGCGATTTCTCCTTTCGCTCCAGTGACTGCTCAAACAGCTTGGCAACTGTGATGGAATTGATTACGACGCAAGAGTAGATTCGGCGTTCGGCAATTTCTCTGGCGGCACGGTTGACAAGGGACAGGGAGAGCGCAATCCAACGTTGTTTGCGAGGATGCTGGCTGCGTGCCGCAAGTTCAATCATGGGCCAGACGAGTTCGGGAGGCAGGGTGGCGAGTGAGTTGCTACAAGAGACTGTTTCTACGACGGGCATGGTACACCGCAAGTGGTAAAAAGAAGAGCTCAAATGCGGGGTACGAAGGCGCCGGCACAACAACCGGCGCCACACATTGCATTTTCCGGTGTATTTCTCTTTGCGCTCGCTGCCTGTAGATCATTTGTACTTCTAATCCCTTACCAGGCACGCCCAAGTCGCGATAAAATAATGTTGATGTTTCATGAAGACAGTAGAGATGCTGGCAGAAATATGCAAACTACCCACAGTAACAGCTCTATTGCGTAACTTATCCATTAACCCATTGAGACTGTCAAATTACATCCCCCATCGACCTGCCCATCGCGGGAAAGGTATAGCTTCTCTCACGCTCTCCACTCCTGTAACCCATGCGACCAACCGCTCGAACCCAAGTCCGAATCCACCATGCGGCGTCGTACCCCATCTCCTGAGATCCAAATACCAACCCATATCCGACTCGTTGGTGGGTAGAGCACGTTCAAGGATGTCGAGTCGATGCTCACGAAGTGACCCTCCTGCGAGCTCTCCAATACGAGGGATGAGCAGGTCGAAGCACTCTACTGTCGGGCCTTGGGTGATTTCTGACGAGTCGGTGGAGGCGGTCTCGCGCATGTAGAACGGCTTGACCTCTTGGGGATAGCGCGTGACGAAGATTGGGCCGTCTCTGGCGAGCCAGCGCTCGTGTTCTGAGCGAATGGGCTGGCCCCATTGGGGAGCGGGATGATCGAATTGAGCGCCGTTTGTCGAGGCGTGCCGAAGTGCGGACAGTGCAGCGGCGTATGAGATTCTCGGCCAGGCTGAAGATGGTTCTGCAGCAGGAATAACAGCTTCTGATGTCTCGCCAAGAGAGAGCGCAGGCCCAAGAAAACCGACAGGAAGAACCGCCTTCACGGATTGCTCGACTACGTCCATGATACCATCCAGTTTGTCCTCAAACGCCACTTCTGCCTCGAGCATCCAGAACTCGTTAAGATGGCGGCTCGTGGCGCTAGCCTCCGCCCGGAAGCACGGTCCTATTGTGTAAGTCCTAGGAAACGACGATGTTACTGCCTCCAGATGCAGCTGCGACGATACAGTGAGGTTGGCGTCGTGCCCGAAAAAGGCGTCGAAATTATTTTTGGAATAGTTTTTGTACTTTGCGGGGACGGCAAGGAATGTTTCGCCGCCGTTTCGCAGTCATTGGTTGTAAGAATGGGAGTGTGCACATAGGTGAACCCGTATTGCTGGGCAAGGTTCAGCTGGGCTTGCCAGATCGGAAAATACACACTTGATAAAAGTCGTGGAAACCCCTCATCATACGATCCCGTTCGCGGATGACCTGGGCGTATATGTCACGTCGAGGGCGTAGGTGGGGCATCGTCCTGAGGAACTCCGCAGAAAGTTCCTTCTTCTGAATCGGGTAAGACTAGGAATGATGTCGTGAGCAAAGAAATAGCGGGGTATGTTACCACTACTTACCTCTGGGTCTGACTCTCCTACAAGGACTACGGAGTCGACTTGCAACTCGCGGTCCTGTCCCTTGCCAGGAGATGCAACCAGTTTGCCTATAAGCTGCACGCTCGAGCCTGTTGTCAATCTTGTGAGCAAAGAGGTCAGTGTGGAGCTTGGAGACGCAAGAGTTCGCACTTGTCTGCTAAGGTGGGATCGCTCATGACGGCTTGCAGCCCTGCGTCCGTCGTCCCATCCCCAACGACAGCGAAAGCAAACCGCTTCTGTCGCCGCACGCTACGAATCCATCCTTGAACTGTCACATCATCACTTGCAACGCTAGCAGAAGTGGATGCTGCACTACTTGTGCTGTCGGCGAGTGGCTGCGCAAAAAGCTGGGCAATCGTCGGTGCCAGACGCAACGTTGACTGGTTCCGGGCTACAACGCGGAAAAGTGATGCAGAGAATGATCTGCGAGGTATTTGCAGTCCCGCCATGGTTTCGTGCGATAAAGGCAGAAAGCCGAGACAAATCGGAGTGTGTAACCGCGTCGCGGCAGCTCACCAGGTCGTACTATTTGACTTCAACGCATCAGAATAAGCTGGAAAGACATTATGAGAGCTTTGATCGCTTGATAAGTTGTATTTCTAAGATAATGCGAACAATGGATTGCTGAGTGCCAATGACTGATAATAATGGTGCCATGTCCAGCACATGCAACATCCCTGTTGGCTTAGCTGGCTATAGCGTCCGACTGTTAGAAGTTTCGGAGAAACCTCGGAATCGGAAGGTCAACAGTTCGATCCTGTTACGGGGAGTGTTTTTTTCTTACAGCCGTTTGTTGTCAGGACATCAGGAGTGACAATGGTCATTGTGAACACTAGAAGGACACGCAATCGTAATAAGTTCGAGCTATTCTTGATCAACGAGCAATCTATAATACAAAGAGCGGAGTGATACAGAAGCTGGTGACAGTGTTCATTCTATAGGAGCTACAAGCTGGATTAGGTAGGAGTTTAGAGGTCTAGACGTCCGTGCACTGTGTGTTTGCCTCGTCGTAGGCGTGATCAATGGCCTCGGGCGTGCCAGGCACAACTGCATGAATCATGTTGACGACGTTATCAAGCATCTGCCAAGTAAAGCATAGCATGCCATTGAGGGCCGCTTCCATTGTGCTTTTGCTGCGACGTGTGATGCCAGAGTAGTATCTGTCTCGCCGATCGATCAGTAAAACACTTTTCCTCAATCCACTGGCGAACTTTGTTGGAGGTCATGGTGAGCTTGGGGGCAACTTGAGCTAGAGCATTTGCGACGTGAGCGACCGAATGTGCTTGTAATGCTTGCATGGTGAGCAATTCGATCTGTTTCTGTTTTAGAGCTTTATCTGCTCGGGTCTGCGCAAGACGGATCTGATCTGATTTGACCTTCTCCTAGAGATAATGGTCAGCGGCTGTGACATGCAATATGTCAGGTGGTGTGCACACACACGAGCGAGCTCTAGCGCGGTTGAGAGCATGCTCTCACCATGCTCTGGGCTGATAGTCTGTATAATACGGCGGGTGAGACTTTCTATTGTCTGCAAAGGGAGCAGACTGCTCACCTGCGCCGGTTTGGGTTTCTTAGGAGCTGGCTTGCGACCGGTACATTTTTTTTTGGGAATCTATATCTTTGTCAGCATTCAATGATGACCCAGTCAAAAAAGGGCTTGTACAGGAATGTCGGTGTCGGTGTCAAAGTTGTGGGTCTCCGAGTTTGCTGTTGGCGACGACGACGGCAGTAGTAGGAGTGAAATCATCGTCAGATGTCTCAATCACCCGGCCCTTCATTCTCTGAGCAGTCGTTTTGACAACACCATCTGTCTTTTTGCTGTTGCTAGGTGGTACGTTGGTGGCGGGCTGTTTTGAACAGTCAGTGCTGAAGAACAAGGCTGCATCCAATAAATGACGCACCGTGTTATCACAAAGAGGGGTTCTGTCAGCATCAAGCGGCGTATCTTGTCCGTCTATCTGTATGCAGCAACTGCAACGGATGTCAACCCACGAGCCCTGATTCAATAACCTAAGAGTTTGACCTCTGTATCTAGGCGCACGCGTTTTTTGGTTTTGGAACCAGCAGCGTCGTCGGCTTTATGTTTGCCAAGCTGTTTGAGGGAAGGCTCAGACATCGCTGACTGGGAAGGCTCAGACATTGTCGGCTGGCGGGGCAGAGGAGAAGGCCAACGAGCAAGTTGAGCCGGAGCTTCCCAAAAGCCCAACAGTCGCGTTTGCAATGCAACCGTTCCATTTCAGCATTTTAATACACTTGTTGCTCCTTTCGAACTTGGGGTGAGATTTATTTTCCTAGCTAATCCACCTCAGTACGAGCAACAAGGCTTGCGAGTGCAGCAGCAGCAACCGTGTGGTCCTCAACCACAGGTTCTCCGTCGACTGCTTGTGCCACATCAGGATTGACCTCATACTTGGCTGGAAACAGATTAGCTGCCCAACTCAGGAGCTCAGGATCTTGAATGATATTGTCTTCCTATAATATGGACGAATTATATGTTAGGATTGTCCCACATGACTTCACATTGACTGTATATTTTCCGAACCAAAGTTGCTTGAATTTACTAAATAAAGCATAATTACCACCGACGCGCTCTGGTGACGGGCTCAAACCGTTCATTACGTTCAAGGTCAACAGTTCGATCCTGTTACGGGGAGTGTTTTTTTCTTACAGCCGTTTGTTGTCAGGACATCAGGAGTGACAATGGTCATTGTGAACACTAGAAGGACACGCAATCGTAATAAGTTCGAGCTATTCTTGATCAACGAGCAATCTATAATACAAAGAGCGGAGTGATACAGAAGCTGGTGACAGTGTTCATTCTATAGGAGCTACAAGCTGGATTAGGTAGGAGTTTAGAGGTCTAGACGTCCGTGCACTGTGTGTTTGCCTCGTCGTAGGCGTGATCAATGGCCTCGGGCGTGCCAGGCACAACTGCATGAATCATGTTGACGACGTTATCAAGCATCTGCCAAGTAAAGCATAGCATGCCATTGAGGGCCGCTTCCATTGTGCTTTTGCTGCGACGTGTGATGCCAGAGTAGTATCTGTCTCGCCGATCGATCAGTAAAACACTTTTCCTCAATCCACTGGCGAACTTTGTTGGAGGTCATGGTGAGCTTGGGGGCAACTTGAGCTAGAGCATTTGCGACGTGAGCGACCGAATGTGCTTGTAATGCTTGCGTGGTGAGCAATTCGATCTGTTTCTGTTTTAGAGCTTTATCTGCTTGGGTCTGTGCAAGGTGGATCAGGTCGGCGGTTCGAGCCCGCTACGAGGAGTCTTTTGGTGTTGGGAGAATGAAGTTTTTAGTATGCGTGAAACAGTCAGGTCGCCGTTCGGTTGTGTGTTTGTGGGCCCTCGGTGCATTTTTGACGATGTGTATATGTCTGGAGTGACAAATAATTACCAGGGCAGCGGCTACATCATGCCTATGTGGTCATGCTGGTCGTGCAGATTGCTATGGGAGATGCGGGCCATTTGGGGGGAGGACAGTCAAGTACAATATATTATCCCACGCGCACCCATCTTACTATATTCTAATTGTTCTACAATTTTTGAATCTCATTGCCTAGAGTGTCCCCTGTGAGCCATCTGCCTCTGGGAAATCCCCGGCTCCACTGTGATTTGCGCCACAATACGAGGTGCACTACCAATTTGAAAAAACAAAGCTCAGATGGTCTGTAGCCAGTCAGGGAAATCTCGTAGCTTTGACAAAGTCGCATGTACTGGGGCAAAGTGCATGTCGAAAAATCGCACCTGAGCCACTGTTCTTCGCAAAACGGTACATTCTGATCTGAACGAACCTAAGGAGCATATTTTACATGATTGAACTGATAGAACATGATGGCAAGTCCAAAATTCCTCTAATTTACTGTTGGGCACTCGGAAGTTGAGGAACTTAGCGGTTAAGTGAACAGCGCTCCACCACGGCTCCATCTCTGCACTCCACCTCGCAACTTACCAACATTGTTGTTCTCCTCCCTCCTCCATCTCTACACACACATACTTGCCCGCAGACGATGTTTACCAACATTGTTGTTCTCCTCCCTCCTCCATCTCTACACACGCATACTTGCCCGCAGACGATGTTGGACACCGCAGTTGCCCTTGCACTAATTCAGTTGTAGGTAGTTGTCAAGCATTTTGGGGAAGTGTGAGACGTAGCGCCGTCTTGACGGGGTGACATACAGCAAACCAGGGCACTTGTCAGTGCGTATTTCCACTACATGTCTTCTGTTCTTTGTGGCTGAGAGTCCCCTGCATGTGGTGTTATTGGAACACAGCAGTACGTTTTGCACATTTCTACATTTCACGTAGCTCTCCATACACCGAGTGGAGTTCACAATTCTGAACAGTGCATCAGTCAGTTGCTAGTTGTTTGTACATAGTTATCAATGATAAGAAATATTTAATGCTCTGTTTTGAATTATTTGTAACTGAGTGAAGCAAGTAAACAACGAGAGGCCCAGCAAATGGAACCAGCTATTTCTCAAGGCGAAGGTAGGAGAATTTCGCACCCTGCAGATTGTCAGGTGGGTACGAAGTGTGTCGCAAAAGTTGGGATATTCTCTTAGACACTAATCCATACCCAGGCCACAAGAATTTCAGAGCCAGCAACAATTTCTAATACCCTAGGTAGGCTCCGTGGTCCGAATGGGATAGGGATTTCTCGCAGCCAGATGGACCACAGGGGTCCTTGCCACGCTTGCCGCACGCAACATGGACATGGACATGTACTACTCGAAAGAACAGTAGCTTTTTTGCTTATTATAAACCGCCAAATCGAGTAGACATTGCACACTACACTCACGGATAGCTCTGAGGAAACCTTTCAAATCGAATTTCAACTCGTCATAAGCTTTTATCGATCGTCACAACACTGTACTGTAACCACGGTCACCCCGCTATGTGTGCCTCCACACCGCAGATGTTGATATTCCTCTACTCAACAATCAGCTTCATCCTTAGATACGGCAGCTTGTTCGACTTACCGACTTCGGGCAGTTTTCTGTCAGTCGATTGCAGCCGTACACCTTGAGCTCCCTCAGATGGGCCTTGCAAACGCCCTCCAACAAGCTCTTAACCACAAAGTCGTCTACGCCACGACAGAAGCCAACGTTGAGTCGCTCAATCTTTGGCACGCTGTCGGCGATCCGGCTGAGTGTGTCAGAGTCGGTATCCCTCCAGCTGTTGATGTTAAGCTCGACGAGATTGCGGCCAGAATGAGCCAGCAGGGCATCTAGCGCGGCACTCGACAGCTTGTGGCAGCGCGACATGTCGATGCGCTCGAGCGGCGGATTGCGGCCCTGCCAGGCTTTGAAGAATGCGGCGGTCGGGACGTCAGTGAGCTCGGGCAGCCCGGCCAGCCCGAGCGAGCGCAGCTTTTTGCAGTGCTCTTGCAGCCCGCGCGTTGATAGATCGTCGTCCAATCCTTCATGGCCAGACAAGTTAAGGTGCTCCAGCGTAGAGCCAATGGCGGCAAGGAAGTCAACTACGGCATCGGATGAAAGTGACGTCCCGCTGCCGGGATAAGAAAAATCGACCGATATCAGGTTTGTGCAACCCGCGAGTATGGGCAGAAAATCGTCTTTGAGTAGACCAACTTCGGCAAGTCGCAGGTCTGTCAGCGTGCCCGACGCGTGCTTTGCAAGAGCTTCGGCGCAGTCCAGGTCGAATCGCGGTGATTGAGTGATGCGGAACGTGTGCAGTTGAGGGCCAACTACCTCGAAAAACTTGATCCAGGCCTCGGAGCGAACGAGAAACGGACCGAGA